GAAGAAGCTGCACTCACTTTTTTGTAAAAATCAAATCCAGTCATATTTTTGTGAAATGAAAGTTGGGAGGTAATATCTGTGCCATTATTTTTAAAAGTAACCTCCAAATAAAAAAGTTATAAAGTTGTAGATCCATTTATTAAAATAAACTAGTATTGTACCCGTGCGATGCACGGTGCGAGAATTCCTGGCTGGTGTGTAAGCATAGTCAGACATAAAATGTAATTGCAATTAAGTTAATCACAAACATTAGATATAGGTAATATACGTATGTTATGCCAATATGTAATGTAATCATCATACAATTTGATAATTACAAATTATGGAACACTTCCTAGTAGATTCTAAATGAAATTGATGTACATGTCTTGGAATTTGGTCTCTTATCAAGCAAGACTGGAACTTGTTGAGAAAAGACACTTGACACTAATTTTTCAGCATTCGACTTTTGCTCTACATTATAAGAAGGATAACTATTATTAATCAAAGAGTAAAAGATACAATGAGTAAAATAATATTAGTTAAAAATAGTGAACCCATCGCATTTTGATGTATTTACCAGTTGTGACATCCATTAATGGGGAAATGGTCGACACTCGACGATATTTGATTTATAGTTCCCATAACACCGGGAAGAGATTTTTGAAATCGGGAATTTTGTAATATTCTCCGATTTACAGCACGTTCACTGGCATTATCATCTGCATGAAATAATAAAAAAGTGGTTAACCTTACATGCAAGAAGCTACGGTTATTCCTCTGTACCATTTAATTATTTTTTCATATAATTTTGTCATTATATTATTAATCAATGATTAATAAAATATATTTTGATTTTTTGAATAAATAAGAGGAATCAGCCAATAAACATATTTCAGGTGGTACGTCATATTGAATCCTTGTAGAATAAGTCGTGTAACTAATGTAAACATTTTAAAAGTAACTCTTAATATGATACGAAATAATAATGATCAAAGCCTGATGTGTGTTTTCTCGCACTTAAAATGGTTGTAGAAAAGTGGTGGAAAGTACGAGTATCGTCTCCACAGGGACGGACAAAAGGGAATTAAAGATTAACTAAACTTAGCGATTAAAAAGAAATAAATAAAATAAAAGTGTAATTGTGCGAAATTGATTGTTGAATTAAAATTAAACTAAACTAATGCGAATGAGCGAATAAAATAAATGTTGGTTTCTTCTTAATTAACGACGAAGGGAACAGGCATTGATTCTGGGGTAACCAGATTTCTGGCAGATCAGGCTTAATTACATGAATTTAATTTAATTGAGCCTAGCTAGTCATTACTAAGTTCTTACCGCTCTCGCGGCGTAGAATACAATAATTTAGGGGTCCAGGCTGATCTCTCATGCGACAAGATCCTAAATTATTGCCAAAACGAGCGAGCTTACGGCCCCTTAATCGCTACTAATCTCTTAGCGAACGATTAAGTGTGTGTGAATGTGTCCTAAAACAAATTAGATCTCTCTTAATTTATTCTATAAGCAATTGTAATTCTAGTGGCCATCTAGGTTACAAGAGAGATCAATTAAATTATTCATACACAAATTAAACGACATTCATGCGATTAAACCAACAGAAATCTAGCCATCAATCATGATTAACCCCTTCATCAACCCCAAATCCCTAATTAAACTACTCACAATTCATAATTGAAGAATCAACAGAATTGGGATGAATAGAAATAATTGTCATTAATTAAAAAGATGAAATTTACAAAGAATCTCAGGGTCTTGAACAAAATAGCGGAAAAACACTGTAAAACACGTCCCTAAGCTTCTCTCTAGGTTTCCGAACCCCAAAACGGGGTTAGGGAGGCCTTATTTATAGAAAACAACGAGTTTGGGTCGAAAAAGGACAGATCCGCGGTACGCACGGAGCCTACGCACGGAGTGCGTTGCGTCCGTGCGTCCGACGGACCTGCGCGTGAAAAAAGGCAACGCACGGCGTGCGTTCCCCTACGCACGTCCGTGCGTTGCTGCCAGTAGCCCTTCGCCATTTTAACGCTTTGAACGCACGGCGTGCGTACCCGGACGCACGGTCGTGCGTTGCTGCCAGTAGCTCTTCTTCAATCAACGCCTTGGACGCACGTCGTGCGTACCCGGACGCACGGCCGTGCGTTGCTCATTACTTTTCTTGGCCGCTACTGCCACGCACGCACGCCGTGCGTCCCTGTACGCACGGCCGTGCGTGGCCTTTCTTCTTCATTTTCTTCGATTTCTTCCGTTTTAAGCCTCTGTTTGACCACTCGATCGATCCAATAGCTCTTTCTTCATCAAAACATCATCGTGAATCTCCCGGTGGCCTCCAGAACTGCGAATTCACTCTCGAATGCTTCTTAACTCGTCCCGATCTCTTTTCAAATGCCGATGCCGGGTCCCAAAAACCTGATTTCAACTCTGAAAATACCAAAACTCGTACCCACGCCCGGTACACATGACTTGAGCTAAAATTGAGACTTACGACACCCAAAAGCTAGGAAAACCATCAAAATGTGACTCCAACACGCATCAAATGCGTGTTGAAATACGAACTTATCAGATTCCCCCACACTTAAACCTTTGCTTGTCCTCAAGCAAACTGAACAACGGGACTTACATAATCACCACCCGGAATTAAAACAGTTAGCATGCACACGTAGTTAAAGGGATATTCACAGAACAGAAAGTTTTAAATCAAGAAAATCCTACCCTAAACTACATCTTTGTACACGAGCTAATAGTTTTGACCAAAACTACTTACAACATCCTTAAAATAGTGACAGCCAGCATCAATAAATTGGCCACCGATCAGAAGGACTTGTGAAGGCGGTGGTGAATGGTGAATGGTTAAACAATAACAGTCCCTTTTCTTGAGAAATTGAAATATTCTAACAGAGACTTAATGCATTCAGAAATTTCGGGGCTATTCTTAGGATCAAAGAACTTAGTAGGCCACAAATTAGGAACAATCATCTAAACCTATGCAAAGAGTAGACATGGTGTACAACTAAGCTAAACCGCCGCGGCACATTTGTGCTTTGAAGATAGACCTAGATTAGGAGAGACTTACATGGAATTAGGTTGAGATGCAAGAAATTTTTGAAATTGTTCTGCTAGATCACACATGGTAGACCCAGAATCCCCCCCTCCCCCCTCGCAAAGGGTGGCAGAAGGAGAAATGACATTAGCACCAACAAAATTGGAAAAGGGAGATGAGATGGATGCCATTGAGATGATAACAACTTGACACTAATAGCAGCTTGACACTGGGTGCAAACCAATCTATGTGTCTACAGTGACTGTGTGCACAAACAATATAATATTTGTCTGTGCACAGACAATTATTTTATGTGACCAAAATATGGGGTTTTCCGTATAATTAGATTTTACAACACAAGTAATTGTTGTGAGGCTCATAGATAATATAATTGTTTGTGTGATCAGTTTTTGGTATTTGTATTCACATTGATTTTATTACACATGCAATAGTTTTGTTGTTAACAGAAAATAGTTGTTTGTGTGATCTACTTTAGTTGTCTGTGTAATCAATTTTAATTATCTGAGTGAACAAAATATATAATTGTCTATATACGTCCAAATGAATGATGTAGTTGCATGTTACTCTATGTGATCAATTCACATGTATCTTTAAAAAATTAATCAAAAATAATAAAAATAGATGAAAATAGATAAATAAATTGATTTTTTCCCCGATTGGATAAAAAAAGTAGAGAATAAGAGGATGAAGAAGAGAAGAGGAGGATGAAAAAGACAAAAATATGACCGTTGGTCGTATGAGACCAACACCTCCCTTTGATGCATGGCTTAAACGCCCATCCTATTTGCACCATGATGATGTGGTGCATCCCCTCATGTCCATCCATCGCTCAGTAGTGGGGTTCTGCACTGCCTTAGTCAACTGAGGGGGGAGGGGGGTTCCCCATAGGAATTTACTTTGACTCGGAGACTACAGAGTGGTGTGTTAAGTAAAGGGTGTTCACCTCTTCATCACCAAATTTCAAGAAGGGTATGATTGTTATTTAACCACATAACTCTGCATTAAAACCAGCCCAAAGATGGGAGATCCATTATTGATAAGTTTATTTAAAGAGTGAACCGATCCTACAATAACCTAATTTTCTTTTGGATATCCGAATGAGCTGAGTAAAGAGTGGGAAGATAGAAGGGAGAGGGAGGAAAGAGAGAAAGGAGAAGAGAAAAAAAATAGGAAAACGAGAAAGTATATAGTGTATATAGATACTGTAGTACTCGTGTATACAAATGTCACTTTTCCTTCTTTGCAATGATATGATTTTATTTTTTTCCCATCAACTTTTAAACATCAAGAACAATAAACTTTTATCCTGCGGAAGTAAGCGCAACTTTGCGCTAGGGTTTAGGCGCCACATAGTGTGTCGGTGAGTGGCTTGGGATATTCTTCAATTGACAGATGAGCATCAGGCTGATGATGGGCGACGAGGTTGGCGATGGTCTGGTTTCTGCCAACATGGAATGATCGATCGAAACTCAAGGAAAGAATGTTCCATCCATGGAATTGAAAATGGTGAACCAAGCGATACAACGAGAGTGGTGTTCAATGTTCAAATGGCGGTACTAATGGCTTGACCTCCTCCAGAACCACCGTCATGGAGTGAACTTGTGTCTAGGGCGGTTTGGAAAAATAAGATTCAAGTTTGCTTTATTTTTATTTCAAGGTATATCTTTCTTTCGAGACAATTTTTTTGGTTTTTGGATTGCTTGTGTTCGTCGTAGGTTTGAGATGTATATTTTAGCCACGATCAAAGGTAATTATCTGGATACTCCCATATGTTTAGCAAAAAGCTTCGCTCAATTTTGGGAAAACTCTTCTTTGCCTGATCATGTGACCTTAAAGGTCTATAACAATGTTTTGTTGCTCGTTTGGTGGCCAGCGATTCGTATTTCTTCTTCGGATGTGGTCATCTCAGAGTCTGATCAAAGGACGTCTTTGGAGCTATTGGTTGAATATAAGTATAGTTTTCCTTTAAAAAAAATTGAATGTGAAATCAGACACATCGTGGTACACATAAAAAAGGAAGTAGCCAAATTTGAGCATAGTATTTTTATTCATCTACTATATATATAACCTAAATAACGATACACAAGCTGGCTAATTCTAGGAGATATCTGTAGTCTAGGAAATACATGGCATGTTATTCCAGCACAACGTCGTCTCTGAGGTTGTGATTGAGCTTGACGATTTCGAATCTTCTTTGTGATTTCTAACGGCGTCGGCGACATCACCACCACTAGCACTGTCCACAAAATCACCGTTCCCATCTTCATCTCCATCCTCATACCAATCAGGAGGAGCTTGTACTGCCAGTGGAAAATTGTCAAGCAGACACATTATATCCTCGTCCATTACACAACTATTGTTATTACTCTCCTTCCCCGCTGCAACTCCACCTTCCCTTGTCTCTGTGTTTATTGATTGCATAAATATATTTAATTAAATTGCTACTTCAATCTATTCGATTACACGCATAATTATATAAGGAAAAAAAATCACAAGGAGTATGATTAAAAGGAGTGTTGTAAAGTCTAAATATTCGAGGAGTGTTACAATGAGTGTCATATTCACTCATATTTCGAGGTGTGTTTATTGTTTTATCCTTTTAATATGAGTGAATAAGTCCTGTATTTGGGAGAAATCATATGTAATTTAATATAAATTTTTCTCCATGTTTTAATTTTATTTCATGTCATTTGTTTTTTATTTCTAAATCACTGGTATTTTTAGATATATGGTACATGCTTGATGCTTCTATCCTACTTTTCTCTCTTCAATTGAAGTATTACTCACTTATTTAATTTAGTAAATATGGAGCATTAGCAATCCAAGAATGTTTGATAGATTTCTTATTATATAATCATTCAAAGCAAAACTAAAAGGGAAAATATTCACTCCTCTATTTCTAGAACTTTGCCATTTTTTAATTTTTAGTCAATCAAGCTAAAATCTGACTTATTATATAGTTTTATAAGAATATATTCAGATATAATGACATACTAGTATATATTACCAAAATGAAGATAGTCAACAAAAGTATAACTTTTTATACTTTAATTTACTGATTATAATAGTAACTTCATTCACCATGATTATGTTTAATTTTAAATAATAGTTAGGATAATCATATATTTATAATAACTTTAGTCACATTTATTTATAAGTTTCATTTAAATATTATATGTATTATTTCGTTAAAACTCATTATTTATGATCCTAAGTACTCCCTCCGTATTTTAAAATTTGCTATACTTTCTTTTTTGGGATGTATTTAAAAGTTTGTCACACTTTCCCTTTTTGCTAAGTTTTTCCTTTAAGAAATACTCAACTATCCTGACTTTTTTAATTTTTTATCTTCTCTTTTCTACTTTTTCATCTTCTCTCCTACATTTTTTACACTATTCATTACCCCTACTATTTTCTCCTAAAACATTGTGCCAAAAGCTATTGTAGAGGACATGTAAATACGGAGGGAGTATGAAAATATGAAAATGCTCTATGTTAAAAATACAGACTAATAATTCATAAATTAATGTAGAAATTAAAACTATTAATCAAAATTTATGATCATTGATTTTTGATAAGTAAAGTTCTAAGGATGGAGGGAGTATAACCATTTGGCAGGGGCGGATGCATAGAGTTGCCGATGGGGGCACATGCCCCCAATAACATGTGTATTTGTAGTATAATTCTTTTTATTTTTAATCAATTGATGATTAGTGCCCCCAACAAAAAAATATAAATGCTCCCATTAAATACTCTACATTTCTACGATGACTTGGAAAAGTAAAAGCTGCTATTTATTTTATTACTACGATGCCCCCATTAAATACACAAGCCCATGACTTTTGAGACTTCGTTTTCTATTTATTTTATTACTAATTTATTTATTATTTATTTAGGGACACCGATCTGTAAACCTAGTTAGCAAAATAAGTTTTAGAAAAGTTGTTATGTTAGATTTCTAAGAAAATAGACTAGTCAAGTATTTAGTTTGTATATTTAATTCCTATTTCACTAAATAATTAATTTTCATATTTCCACTATACTTTATATGTAATTTTTTTTTATTTATAGTTTTTTTAATCACATTGGTGGTGTTTTTTCAATGAATATTATTGTCAATTCAAGTTTCTGCAATCGTAGTGGTGATTTGTTTTTGAATGATTGTTTAATTTGTGATATGAATACGATTTACTTGATTTACTTGATGTATATACAAACTAAATTGTGATAGATAATTTTGTTGAAATGAAATCTCCTAGAGAGCATTCGTGATAAAATGCACTATGTAAGATTTTTATTTGAAAATTTTTATGAATTACTTCTATATCTTTTAAAATAAAGTATATGTCGATGTTTCAATATTTTATACTACCTCCTTCCCAAAAAACTTTGTCATTTTCAAAACTTTGATCAATTACTCCGTATATATTTTTATCGGATATTATTCATAATATAAAAATTATATGAAAATGTTTTTTGTTAAAAATATTTTCATAAAAGTATAAAATTTATAAGTTCCATAGTATCATACTAATCAAAATCATGGTCCAAAGTTTATGAAATGGCAAGGTTTTTTTGAACGGAGATAGTATGACATTGAATTTACTTGAGATGTTTTTAATCGAACTATAATTTCCTTGTTTGATCTAGCTTAACTGGTTTAATCTAGTGGATATTTATTCTATGTGTATTTTACAACTAGCGAAGCCTGGTCTGTTCTAGTATGAAACAAAAACGAATTCAATTAAAAACATCATTATTATATGCAGGGGAAATTTGCAATTTTCATCCCGTAACTTTCAGCCGTTTTCATTATTAGTCCCGTAACTTTAGTCACTGGCAAATTTCGTCCTGTAACTAATTAATATTTGCGATTTAATGACTTTTTCCCTGGAAAGTACACTTTCCAGCGGTAGTATACTGAAATTGATGTCGCTGGCATCCGATTTTTCTGATGGAAAGTGTAATTTTCGTTGAAAAAATCCTTGAACTACCAAAATTTATTAGTTACAGAATCAAATTTGCAAGTAATTAAAGTTACAGGACCAATAACTATAAGAACTAAAGTTATGAGACTAAAATTGCAAATCTCCCGTATACATAGTGCGCCCAATAACTTCGTTTTCTAGATCCGCCCCTGATTTGGCTAACGATTTGTTAAATTAATGATATCTAGTTTTGACGATAAAAAAAAAAGGATGGAGGGAGTATTTTAGTTTGAAAATCGAACCTTCACAGCCAAAACTAAGCACCACTTCTTGATTTCCGATCGTAGATTTGTGTTTCCCGTTTCCATCTGGAGAATAATTTTTGAGTACTCGCGCCAAAGAATGAGACTCGCGCAATAATTCGTCCAATAATCCACTGTTCCTCCGCGATAAATCCGGGTGGTCAGCTTCGTCGCAGTCATCATCCTCAGCCTCGTCGGTCGGCGCCGCCGGGTAAAGACTCCCGGAAGATCTTACCGGGGCGGCGGCCGTTGTTTGCACGGCGGTTTGGATTGAAGGTTGCTCTTGTGTGTTCATTCCCGTTGGACCCGCGAAGAAACCGCCGCCGGCGAAGGTTGGATAGAGGGAGCTGAACGGGAACGGAAGCGGTGCCGCCGGACCAAAATGTTTATTGGCCGCCGCCGAGGAGGAGGATGAGGCCAACGTCAGAGCAAGACCACCGTGCGGAGAGTGTGTGAAAAACTTGAAATGATGGGAGTTATGGGTATGGGGAGGTGGAGCGGGAGATTTCAAGGCCGCCGGAGAACGGTCCAACATGTAGTCGTATATGGACATGGAGGGATTGTAAGCGGCGGCGGGCTTGGGTGGCGGCGGCGGCGCTGATAGAAGCGCAGACAGGGGAGATGAAGAAGAGGTGGACATTAGGATCTGGGCATTGGGATAGTATGAGTTTTGGGGTTGAATCTCTTGAGGATAAATGGGTAATCCAGCTCTCTGCCTCCTCTTTAGCCTAGTGTTCCAATAATTCTTTATCTCGTTATCTGTTCTCCCCGGCAACTACACATACACATACACAAATCAATTCAACTTGCTAATAATTTTCGGGAATCATATAACCCTTTTAAACTAATAAAACTAATTTAGAAGAAGGCTCTTAGATAATTAAGGTACACCCCAAATACTAATGAATAATAGAAATCAATTTGTTATTCTAATTTTACGTATTATTTGGTTTTATTGAAAATATTGGGGGTGTTTGGTAAATGACATTTCAGACAAAAAATGACGATTTGAACTTTTTTAGCATTTTCACCTAGTGAAAACGTTGTTTGATAAATAACTGTTCGACACTATCTTTTTTGGACGAAACCGTTGGCATAGAAATGCTTTACATATGATAGTTTTAGGTTAACGTTTTGAAATATGGCCGTTTTTTTTATTATTTTCATGTCCAAACAACTAAATTATCAAATATCTTCTGACAAACCATCAACTTATTCCGCTAGTCAAATCTGCTGACTGGATTTACTATTAGCAACCCACTAACATAATCTACTATTCTGCTATCCGCTAACAGTTAAATGCCAAACACACCCGTTACTTATAAAACTTTCCTTTTTAAGAATTGAATGTGTCATATTTTATTATACAGAGTATTTTTAGACAAAAAGGGATGGTGACTAACTTTGTCTATGAGATTTTGATGCTATTTATATAATCACCTGAGCGACGATCAAAAAAAAAATATAATCACCTGAGCCGCCATGCGAGCCCACTTGTTGCCGAGCTTGGAATGAAGCTGAACAATGAGACGTTCTTCCTCGGGAGAAAAGGCGCCCTTCCTCAGATTAGGCCTGAGATGATTGGCCCACCTTAGCCTACAGCTCTTACCGCACCTCATCAGCCCGGAGTTCCTCTGGACGGCGTTCCAATTCCCCTCGCCGTGCTTCTTCACGTATTCCATCAGAATCGCGTCCTCTGCCGTCGTCCACGGCCCTTTCTTCAGCATCTGCCGGTTCCTCCCCTGACCGCCGCTTTTCATTGCTCCACCATCCGACGACGTCATCAACCTATGTAGCAGCTAGCTGATCGATCAATCTTCTGTTTTTGGTTGGAACTAATAAATGATGGGATCCAAAATGTTTTCTTTTTGGATGGAAAATACAGAAAACAGAGATATGGCTGAGAAAGAGAAAGATGGAAAGGATGAGAGGGGGAGGTGCCTGCTGGGCAGATTTATAGAATGATAGGTGTGAGCTTACTTCTCGTCCCGGCTTGCAAGCTTCATGCTACATTTTTTTACGCCCGCACTTTTCTTTCTCCACTCCTTTTCAATTTTCACCTCACACTAGTATTTACGGAGTATCATGCTCCATTTTACATTTCCTCTTTTTCAAAAGTATTTCAATACGTGTGTAGCGACAGAGAGCGTGTTTGGCTCGCATGTCTAAAAATAGCAAAATTCAGTTACATAAAGCTCTAATTAGTCAATGGTATAAAATACAAAAAAAAATCTTTAAATAGAACTAAAACATTCATAAATGCATAAATACCATAATTATTGTTTTCTTCATAAAATAAGATTAATTCATTTCTAATTGAGAACATTTTTACATTTATAATATGATCAAACAAGTCTTACTTAAGTAAGTGTAATGGTATAGTTCCACTAGTGCACTTTCATTCACTTTTAGAGCGGGTTTGGCTTGCCTTAGTCAACTTTTTGCCAAACATGTAATTTTCGTGCTGAATTGTATAGTACGAAGTAATAAAAATAAGTAAGGTTGAACTTATTTTAGCTATTTTTTATACGAAGTATAATTTTTGTTTATTTTATTAATAAAATACTCCGTATATTTTAATACCCCCATAAATCAGCAGAATCAATCAATCTAGCCACTTTCATCAAAACTTCATGAATTTCAACAAAATCACTCGATTTAACCAATTATAGTGTTACCAAACGAGCTTTTAGTCTTATTTAGAGAAATTACTATATAAAATAGGGAAATTGACTTAAATAGAAGTAAAAATGTTTGTATATTTCAAAGTAGGATTGTCATGTTTCTATTCCCTAAACATGAGTAATTATTATGATGTTTTGGTAGTACTGCAGTTTAAACATGACATTATCTTAGCCGTAGTTACTCCTATTTAGGAAACAAAAACATGATCATCTTTTTTTGTGCATAGTTCAAGAAGTTCCTTAAGCATAATGTCCAAGAGTTGGAACGCTTAATGATGCACAATGGGACATACTATGCTGAGATTGCCCATAATGTTTCAACCAAGAATCGAAAAGAAATCGTTGAGTGTGTCGTCCAGTTAGATGTTGTAGTGACTAACAAACGCAGGTTTATGCATAAGTAAACAACTCTTTTGCTAGTGTTTTTCATCTTCAAAGGCATAACTAGAAATGCAGGTTACACCTCACTCGCTTCACATCTGCATATTTCACACACACACATGCCCTGCAACGCGGCACATACATACAGAGTATGAAACCGGAAGTCATGTAGATTATTTATTTTGATTCCGTAGGAGGATCAAAGAGTCTTTAATTGTATTCGGTTTTCAACACTACAATTTGAACAAAATAAATTGATTGTAACTCAACTAATAACATTCCCGTAAAAGAGAAAACGTGACTCTAGTAAAACCTTCATCAACATATATGAATATGAATGGAATGTACTATTCAAATTGAGAAAATGATGAAGCCATTGCATTGTTAATGTGTTTGTCACTCATAATTCAACCAAACGAATAAGGAAGAAGAAATCTGGATTACTTTTAGAGTTTCACGCATATACAAAGATGAAATAAGTAAAAGGAGTTTGACAGAAATGTTTTCACTTGCCACCTTAAATTTCGCCAGGAAATTTCACCAGGAAACTATTTTTTTTGCTGAGTCACAATGTTAGGGAGCTAGGCTTGCTGAAAATCGAAAGAGAAGTTGAGATTGTGGGGTTTTTCGTTTCCAGCTCAGCAACACAGGCCATATACACGTTATTGTTGGAGAGACTAAATTTACCTCAATTTTGACAGATGTGACAGTGCCTTTTTAAGCAATTCATATTCTCATTAGAGATAGCTCTAAGTTTTGCTTAAACCACACAGATGGACATGGATACCCTTTTCTGATGAGGGAGACAGGGATGGGTGACATTTCCCGGCTTCCTGCCGTGAGATAGCTTAACAGTTGTTTTTTTTTTGAAAGGTAGCTTAACAGTTATTACGTATTACTTGTTTCACCTTTTTAGTTGCAAATAAAAATGTATAAAAAACATAGGCATTGTTGTTTCATCTTACGTATCCAACTTCTATTAATTTTTCATCTTCTTTCTCTAATTTTTTGGCTTTTTTACACTATCCACCTCTCTTGCAACTATCAAATATCTTACAAACGGTTGAAACGAGTAAATGGAATGAGGAAGTAGTGTTTATTCTTTTTCTGACTGAAAAATATTACATGATTACTTTGTTTACCTCTCTTAAAACAAATATGGGTATAACTGTATAATTGCCTTTTTCAAGTAACATACTAATCGGGGCGACTCGGTAACCGTTTCCAAGTTGACCCGGCTTGCCTGGTTCTCTATACATTGTGTTTTTTTGCAAAGCTGTTACCCAGACAAGTGTTGAATGTTTTCAAAACCAGGTAAAAGAAACAGAATCGATGCCTTTAAAGTCTCTTCATAAAAAAAGAGAAAAACAACCCATGAATTAATCATATAGAGCGAAACAGCAACAACGAACATCACATAGCAATGATACCATAATTCACAAGCACATGAGCTGTTTAAGAACTTCAGGACCAACCTTCTCGGGTTCAATTGATTCCGGTCACTAGTTCAGAACCCCCTCTAGAGGGCAATTATGGGGGTCAAAAGTAGTCTGGACGCCCCCATTGTATTTAAAAAAAAAACTCAAGGACCTTTAAGTCTTTAACAATTTACCATTGGTAATATTAGATTGTCAGAAAGAGTTTAATAGACATGAAGTGGCTTGTTAAGGGGTACATGAATGAGAATTAATTCTCAAAAAGTTAAGATTACTACAAGTCGTCATCACGTGTCAATGTGTGTCTGAAGAAAGGCGGGATCAGTTTGCTCACCTGGAGATGCATCAAACTGATGATAATGGAAAACTGTGTAATGTTTCACTTGCCAATGTTTCCAAATTTTCCATCAAAAGTTCTATATATTGAGGTCTCGGAGGTAGGAGGCCGTAGCACAATTTCCTTGGGATATCTGTGAAGTATAAACCAGTATCAAGTACTCCGTAATAATTAAAAATAGAGTAACATTTTGAGAAATATCTGGAAGTATCAAGATAATAAGAAATATTAATAATATCACCATACTCCAAAAAAAAATTAAATGGAGTTATGTTTTAAAAAAAACTTCTCCCATTTCGATTTTAGATATCTACAAGTTTTTTCATGTATTCAAATTACATATATTTGTACAAACAAATACCAATATTTTTGTCATTGGTTTTCCAGAAATAAATTTACGAGACACATCTAGGTTTTTGATCTTGTTCTCCATAACTTTAAGATTAGGCTCCAAAAAGAATATAAAACCAGCATTTTTCTAAAGCCTGGACTTTACTCATACTGAGTTTTAACAAAATTATCAAAAGATTCAGAAAGAACTTGTTAAATCATTATTCAGTAGCCAAATATATAGACACATATATAGAGCCATACAGACTCTGGGCTATTCCCCTACATATACACAAACTTACATATATCAAGGCTTTGGGTTGTCCATTCTGTTAGCTAGACAATTAAACTCTAACAAGTCTTAGATAGAATCACTAGTCCTAATTTAGTACCGAATATGAATAAACGCAAACGATTAGTCAATCCAACTATTACGTAAAAACACACAGCTTTCATGGTTGGTCTGATCAATATGACCAATTTTACACACTCCGTATAAGACTTTGGCTGATTCTCGTGTTGATTTGTGTCAGATTGATCTTTTAGTCTCAATGCAATTTATCATGTGTTTGCAATCAGTGTGAATGTGTGAATGTGTGGTACATAAAAGTAATGCCATTATTCTACAAATATGCACGAGAAATATGATATGGAGATTTAGCTTGAGTATCCAAATTGCTGTGAACTACTAGAAAACTTAGAGAAGGTCCAAGAGCTACCTGCATTTGAACACTTCTCCAAACCATTACAATAAATCTTTCATGAAGTCAAGATTGAGTGTGTCTCGCACAAGAAGGAAAACTCCAAGAACTAGGACGACCATTACTCCGGATGACATAATACGTTGCTCAACTTCAAGTGGAAGCTTTCGCCCGCCTCTAGCCGCTTCTATGAGTAACAATGCCAGTGAACCCCCATCAAGAGCAGGCAAAGGAAGAATATTTATCACAGCAAGGTTAAGGTTCAAAATTGCAGCAAATTGATATAGACCATCAACATTTGACTTTGCCACCTCAGCACCAACAGCTATAATCGCGACCGGGCCTGAAACCTTACTTGCAGACTGAGAGAAGTTTAAAAAGGTCTGTTTCAAACCGCCCACCACATTAGACGCAAGTCCCCAAAATTCGCTTCCCGTGAAACCAAAAGCTTCAAATATATTCTTCGGGCTAACTTTTGAAACCTTATAGTTCGGCGTTAATTGGACCCCGATGCGACCCGTACCATCCGAATTCATATCCGGAGTGACATTGATGTCCATCCTTTCCTCTCCTCTCCCTATCTTCAGCAACACATTTCTAGTAGGGCTTTTCTTAATTACATCAACAACCTCAGAAACCAAGTTAGGCCCCATTTGGCTGAAATCAACTCCATTAACACCTAGAATGACGTCACCAGGGGCTATACCGTCGCGGCTAGCAGCTGAAAATGGCTTGACATCTGGAACAAGCACACCAGGGAAGGCCTCTTGAACAGGCAATCCAACTGATATAATTTGGGAAAAGATTATAACATAAGCAAACACTATATTAGCAATCACACCGGCTGAAATAACAAACATTCTGTCCATAATAGGTCTGTTTTTTAGCAGATTCCTATCATCTGGTGGAATACCACTATCCGGGTCATTATCAGGAAATCCAACATACCCACCTAAAGGAAATGCTCTAATTGAATACTCCACATTCTTGGAATTGAATCTGGCTAAAATTGGACCGAACCCAACCGCAAACTTACTTACATGAATGCCCTGGAGATAAGCTGCCAAAAAGTGGCCACTCTCATGGACTATGATGATGGCGGTCAATACTCCAGCTGCCTCAAGAACTGACTGTGCATCCTGAAACGCGCTGAAATCCAATCCTGCTACGGCGTGATGCTTGAAATTTCCCCTCCTACCACGAGGGAATTGATTCTCGAAGAAGCTTAAAGAAGAAAATGAGCAGTGAAGTGATGATTTTGGAATCGTGGTTTTGTTTCTTGTATGGTATTGTGAAGTGGGTGCCTTTGAATTTGTTAATCTGGCGAGTAATAAATTAGAAGAAGAAGCAGCAACAGGTGGAGAAGATGAGAGGTTTATCATCATCCTGTAGTTTGCTATATCTGGAATAACTTCAGGTTCATTACGAATAAAAAGTTGTGGTTAATGTACGGGAGTCTGGAGAAAGAGTTGAGATTGGATATAGATCGAACAGATATCAAATGTTTGTGATTTTTATGGAGGGGAAGTGGATAACGTGATGCTACTTCTCTCTGCTCCACAGCTTCACTATGTGGGTCATGGTCGTGGTATTTGTATTGTTGTTTTGAGCTTTCAAATCATTAGTGTTAATACTAACCATTATTTGCAAGTTCGGCCCACTAGGCCACCACTAAACATTAACATTAATGTAGCAAATGAGGGATTCAAAACATAAGACAACGTGTTAAGATTGATTTTCTTCGGGAAAGTTCCCGAAATGGGACTAAAAAAGTTCCAAAATTCCAAAATAGGACTGTCATGTTTTTCTTCCCAAAATAGGACTAATTACTGTCATATTTGGAAAATACTGCCATGTTTGAAGTCTGGTACTGCCAAAACATGGCAGTAATTAGTCCTATTTTGGGAATAAAAACATGGAAGTCCTATTTTGGAATTTCCAAACTTTTTTAGTCCCATTTTGGGTAATATCTCATTTTCTAATCTATTAGTGGAGCTGCTAAACGTTTATGTAGTAAGAAGTAGATTGCAAGACATAGAGAGCCCGTTTGGTAGTCATGATTCTTGGTTTTTCAGGCTTATCAGTCAATTTTTCCACCTAACACGTACTTTTGGTTTCATGTGTTGAATTGTGTAATAATAAGAAAAAGTAAGGTTGAAGTTACTTTTCTGGCTGTATTGGCTGAAGTTACCGTAAAGGATCATTTTAGTTATTTTTTCTGTTGATTTTTTTATTTAATTGATTAATAAAATATATTTTAAATATTTTTTTCCCACAAATCAGCAGAATCAGCCAATACAGCCACTTCAGCCAGAACTTCATAAAAAAAGATTCCCTTTGAGTTGTATAGCTTCATAATTTCATAAGGTTATACCATTTATTTGAAGGAGATATTGGAGTGTTTGAAAAATGTCGTTAGAGCAAAAAATAGTGAATTGATTCATTTTGACATTTTCACTGAAAAACGCTATTTGGTAAATAGCCTTTCGGCCATGATGTCTTTGAGTTATCGTTTTGAAATAGAGCATTTCCTACTAATTGTTGCGCCAAACAACTAAATTACCGAATATCTTTTTACAACATGCCAATTATTCCGTAAGTCAAATTCGTTGAGTGAATCTGCTATTAAGACTCGCTAATATTATTAGAATTAGGGACTCGTTGTAGGCTAATTTTGGTCAAGTTCAGCCCACTCTATGCAGTTTCGTCTCAATCATAGCTACCCTCATCTAGTGTCTATAACATTTTAGGGATAAGGCTTCTAAGAAATCCTAGCTAGATGATCTTCAGTAGCAGACCTAGAACTTTTCTCAAGCGGGGGCACTATTGTATGGATGGAGACGGACCGGATCGGGTGTGAGACTAATCTATTCACTGTGTAGACATTTTTTAAAACAAAAACAAGTTATTCAAATTTAGTTTCAAATGATTTACATCGATGTACAACATGTCTAGTTTTTAACCCATTAAAATAATTCCAAATAACTATGTTCAGTTTCTTGAAAGAAAAATATAATACTTCATATGAATTATAACTGAATCATCCTGGCACCTTTTCTGGTTTTGAATTAGAATTCAAGTTGCTTTTGTACTACAACGATCATAATTTTGATTTAGAATTAGGATAGTGGCCAACGTTACACGTCGTGACACCGAATTACGGTGTCGTCCAAAATTCCTTCATCAACTTGGGATTAAATTGTGAAACCTAACATGTAACTCCCGGCCGAGTTAAACTACTTTAATTTCTTGATTCAATCATCTCCCGTTTGCTACTACTACACCATTTTCTAATAACTCTCAGATGGTATCATGTTGTTTTTGTCCGAATACGCCCTTTATTTTACAAGAGGATCCCAACATTTTAGTAACATAACCATGGAGAAATATCCAAAGAAGGTATTCACAAACTTCTTTTTTCATGCAATAGCCACAACAACTAATTGTAATTAGTAAGAAAATAATGAATATATCTTGTGTATGAAATTTCTTTTAAGATAATCTTAAATCCATTAAGCTCACAACACATACTCTGTCACGCCCCAGACCGCAATCCAAGCGCGTGTACAACCGCCGTATACTCAAGTGACGTCACCCGCGAGTCAACCTCACTTAATTACACAAGGTGTTCGAGAAAATAATCCATCCATACTCAGTAGTAAACATACATAACAACATCACATTTAAACCAATGAATAGTGGAAATATTCAACGGTAAGTCATAAGCCACAACCGGCCAACAACATGGGCATGCAAGCCCCAAAAATAGTTTATAGTAGAACAAATATCCATGAGCATGTGTTCTGTAGTTTGAAAGAAAATAAGGAAGCACGAACCAAGTCTTCCGGAAGTTGATATCACCCGTAAGAAGGTGCAAGTAGCAAGCTCTAGCTTCAACCTGAAAATGGTGGGACCCCCCGAAGGGGTCAGTACAAGTACCGAGCGAGTAGCAGACTAAATATAGAATAACTAGTGTTTTAAGTATAAGACCCAAACATAGGGTGATACTTATATAAATAGTCCTTTCCCCCAAGTTGAGAAATACTTATTAATATACATACACTTGGAAAATACCTGATCCGTAGATCACTGTTTTATTTGAGAAAATAGTAATAGTCAATATTCTTGACTAAATACCCCAACCCACCCATATACCTATGTGTGACACCGCACCCGAGCGTCCTTGAAAATTCAATTTAAGATTCAAAGTTATGTATTGAATTTCCGGGTTACCAAACAATTGTAGAACAAGTTATGTTTTACGTAGTGCATGATTGAATGTTGTACTGTTCAAACTCGTATATTAGTGTCGGGTTCCGCAAATACTTATTTGGGCCTTATTAATGAACATAAGAGCCCAATATTACTTAAATATTGTTACTTAACCTTTCAAGACAATTTGAGGAAGGTCGGGCGGCCCAAATATTATTTTGGGCCCAACCTGTTAAAAATAGCAAATATTCGAGAATGGCGTCCTAGACCCACTCGGGAGTGACCCACACGGCTAGTAGCCCAATAATATGTATGACAAATGTCAAAATAAGTGATAGAATAATTGGAGAAGAATACAAATACCTATAGCCCCATCTTTGACATTATTGAACTAAATAATGGGAGGGGGATTTTCCTTCTATAATATCCATCAAGTAAATTATTGAGATGAGCCTACACATATTGGAGATCAATAATGTGATGTAGGAAGTTGACTTGTTCTAAATAAATTAGGATGAGTACAAAAAGACATCTTTTAACAAAAGATAAAACAATAGGACCCATTTTCCCATTTTTGGAAGTATTGGTAGATATTTTGGACCCCAAGTTGAATGGGATCAATTGGGAACCATTACAAATGGACTTGGTACCTGCAAAACAAAGGAAAAGAGGTGAGATGACTATATGGGGCGGACTCTTGGCTCACATGCACAAAAAACTCCAAGAAAAACAAAAGGGGGAGGTCCACCCCATATTTGATTGCAAACCAAATATCTCCCATGCTCTTTTGTAAGCCACATGCTCTCTTAGCATGTTTAAGGTCTCCTATACACTACCCCCTACACCCCATTCGAACCCCAAAGAGATAAGAGAGCAAAAGCATCCACACAACCCAAGAGAGAAGGAAGGAAGAGAGCAGTCCGCAGGTTCGTTCTTTAGTGCGTAGTGCTGATTGTTTGAGCCATAACTTGAGATTGACTCGTCCAATTAAAACGTATAAGGTACCAAAAGAAAGCTCTCAAGACGAGTAATCCGTGAAGGTCTGGTTTGCATCAATCGGAGTAGTGGAAGGCTTCCAAATCGTCCGAGCAAAACACAACCTTGCAGGAACGGATTTACTCTCCTAAAGTGAGTAATCACCCAAAACCTTTACTTTTCATTTTCCAAATGATATGAACGATTGGTGGAACTATTGTACACTAATACAAGTGTATAATATGTCCTTGTAAAGTTATTTTATTGATGTAAAGGTTAGATACTAACCTAGAGTAAATCTTGGAAAGCTAGGAGACGAGTTAACCGGAGAACACCCATTCTAGGGGCTATTTTCGTATCAACGTTTGAGGGTTGAGCTAGCACTTTGAGGAGGCTGGTTAACACTCATATTTAAGCAAGGAATCAGTTCCTAATCCACCTTGGCCAAAGCTTTGACCATTGGATCAAGAAGGAAAAGTTTAAAGCTCAAATAAGGTGAGGATCGACATCTAGTTGCTTACAACTTATAGGTTAAGCATGAGATTACCTAAATGCCTAAATAATGTTTTCCATGGATTATGGTGATAAATTATTGATGGAATATTGATCTATTTTCCAAAGAATGAAATGGGAAATGATTTGGTAAAGTATTGATAAAAAATGGAGTTAAATGAACTATTGTGTGAAATGGGCATTTTACTCATGTCTGAATTGTGTAGATACATAAATGATTATTTATGTATTACATTGAATGATTAAGTTGCTGCTACATATCTCTAAATATGTAGGGTTTTACAAATGGAATATATGATGGATAAGAATAATCTTAATAGTATTGAAATACTAGTTAATGATTGTTGTAATTGTTAAGGAATTGAATCTATGGATTTGATTGTAATTGATGAACTTGATTGTGATGCAAGTGACTAAATTGATGTAATGTGATGCTAAGACCATGGTTGGGCAGTCCGTAAGGATGTCCCAAAACAGATTATTGATATTACAATTCTAGGCATAGCGAGTGCTTAGGAATTGAGGTCTATGCCAATGTAAGGAGATGTACATGAGCCATGCTCATAGAATTGCATTGGGTAGACATGATGGGGTGATTGTTGTGCATGGTGATGTAGTTGAGTTGGACTCAAGAAATGCACGGTGGAGTAGTTAGCTTATGTTAATTAAGGTGCATGGTGATGTAGTCGAGTTGGACTCGAGAATGCAAACATATGTGTTAGGGTTGAACCCTATGAATTATTGTGACTAGGGGTCACGGGGTTTTGGGCTATGTTTGATAAACAAACCTTGGGCCTACGGGCCGACTACTTGACTTTATATATAAAGTAAGTATATTTTAAAAAGGGGTAACTTGGGGTTACGG